TTAAGCAATTATTTGTTTGATTACTACGCACCATCATGTAGAAAATCGACATTGGATTTATTGCTACCATTCTTGTTTTTGAAATAGAGATTGCTCAAATGACATATCATCTTTTAGTTCAAGAAATTACATTTATTTCCTTTCAAAATTATTAAAAAAAATTTTTTCATTTATTGTTAACAAAGAAACTTGCACTATTACTATATTACGAATTTACAAATTCTGCAATAACTTAATACGAGAAAATTGCAAAGCTTAATCTGCAGTCACGGCCGCCTAGTAGTTTGAAAGCAATGTACTCTTTTTTTACCATTAACATAGGTCCCAATTACTCATTTATTCAATCACCACATTCACCTTATTATTAACATTTAATTAACATTTAAAAAAAACGCAACAAAATCGATATAATCAATGATGCTAATTTCAGTATCTAGTCGATTTGTTTTAGGAAAAAAAGGATTTCGATGTTCTACGAATATAATCGCATAGTATACATAATTGAGCTGCAGCTGCAGTTGAAGTTGAAATTGAAGCTGAAGTTGCAGCTGAATAGCTCTCCCCCAAAATGGTTTTAATGAATATTGGTTTATTTATAATAAAAAGAAAAACTTCTATTTCTGACAGTAATGGTTTATTTAAAGATCATCGTTGTACACGATTACCTTCTTGTGCCTTGGTTCAATGGCTTGGATGGTTTTTATCTTAACTATTTTTATCTTCCGATATTATGTGTCGTGATGTTTATTAATATTAACAAGATGATTTTAAAAATTGCATGTTTATTTCTTTACATATAAAATTTGTAGAGATTTTTAAATAAAGTTGCGTTTATCGTTTAATTGCTCCCATATTTTTTTTTAGTTATTATTTATAAAGAAAAGAATTGTATTCAAATTCCAAGTATTCAAATATCTGTGATTTACTCGTAAATTTACTTAGAAAGTTCTATTTAGCGAGTGAATGAATATTGTTAGGTCTCGTGACATTTTCAAATACAAAAATTTTATGAACTTGTAGTTATTATTTCTTTAATTGAAATTTTTTCTTCTCATTAAGTAATCAATCGATTGCAAAATTCTTCAAACTAGCTTTGACTTTTGACTTTTGATTTAGTTTTGATATATAACTTTTAATTTTGGTATTAACTTTCGCCTCTTCAAAATAGTTTTGGTGACTGGTCATTTTTGGCAGGTGGGTGTATTTACCAACACATGACACATATTATACAAAAAACCCCAAATGCATTTTTTTTTAAAGGTTGAAACAATCAACTTTTCGTAGTAATATAACTTCTAAAGGCTTAAGGATAGCTTTTACCAATATAATACATTTATTTGTTGAATAATAGTATACTATAATTAAGGATACCGGCCGCAACTTTTAATGATGGTTTTGTGTCGTATAAAAATGAATGATTATGATACCTGGTTGCAACCGCTTTTGCAACCATTTTGTTTCCTTTTGTGGATTGCGACATGGAACATTAATTATATACGATCATATAAAATTCTATAATATATATATGTATTTCACTTAATTTTTCAACAAATGATACTAATAAATACATACGGAATCTTTTTACTAACATTAATACAAAAATCAAAGGAAAGAGTTTAAGATTAAAGACATAACGATAATAACGAATCGAATCACTTTTATGTCGGATTTTATTATATATACATATACACTCACCTATCATAAATATCTGACCACTTGCGTTGTGTAATGTCAAATGAAAAAAGTGCTTACTAAATAAAGTACGTTTTCTTAAATAAAACCTTTTCTGCTATACTAAATAAACTCATATTTGATATCAAAACTCTGTATTACAAAAATTTCGAACAGTTCGATATGGTATTAATGGAAATATTTAGCAAATCATCCAAAAAAGCAAATTTCCGAATGAATTTTTACATGTAATGAAAGGTCAAATTTTTTTGTTGTAATGTATATTATTACCTTAATAAAACGTGCTTAACGTAACGGATTACATATATTTACAATACGGTGTCAGCATAAATTAGTTTGTGAAAAGGTTTTAAAAAAGTATCAGACCACCCCATAATTTTTGAAAAATAAAATTGATGCGTAATGTCAATTTTTTGATTTATGTTTGCGAGATCAATTTCTAACCAAATTAGATAATCTTTTTTTTATTTTAAAGCTTAAAACGCAAATTTTTTTTAGTCAAAATAATATGCAGAAATCACAGAACTTTCTGATTTTGAACACGGAAGGATTATTGGTATGTGGGAAGCTGGCTTGAGCGAAAGAGGAATCCAAAAAAAAACTGAGCATAAAAAAACAACAATTCACGATACAATAGCAAGATATAAAGATGTGGACAAATAAAATCAACATTAAGACCAGGTAGATCAGTAATAGCATCAACTCGTGATAAAAGAGGTCTTATATAAATTGTTAAAAAAGATAGAACACAAACTCTTTTCAATTTAATGAAACAACTAATTTATCTGTAAGTTCTTCAACTGTGCGTAGATATCTTTATGAATTAGGTTGTTATGGTCGTGCTCGATTGAGAAAACCTCTTATAAGTGAAAAAAAAACAGAAAAGATTGTCCAGCATGGTGTCGTCTAAGAAAAAATTGGGATTTAATAATATGGAGTGATGAATCACGGTTTGAAATATTTCAAAGTGATTCTCATCATCATGTGTGGCGTAGACCTCAAGAAAAGTATGACATTGACTGTTTAATCCCAACAGCAAAACATGGCGGTGATGGAGTTATGGTATGGGGTTGTTTTGTAAATGGCAAACTTGGACCGTTAGTTGAAGTTGATGGTCGTATTACTGGTTCAAAATATATGGAGAGAATTTAGATAGTTTAGATGGTCAATTGACATATTCCTTCCAGGACGATAATGCCCCCGCACATACAGCAAATGATACAATTAAATGGAGGGATGAACATTCAATTTCATATATTCAATGGCCTGCACAAAGTCCCGACCTTAATCCCATTGAACATTTGTGGGATGTTTTAGAAAGAAAAGTTCGAGAAAGGTTACCACATCCTAAAAATAAAAAAAGATTTGATTGTTGCATTGGTAAAAATTGAACCCGAAGTAATAAAGAATTTAGTTGATAGTATGTTGAGGAGAGTGAAAGCCGTCATAGATAGTCATGGCAATCCAACAAGATACTGACTGACTGGCTTTTGCTAAACGTTTTATTTATTTTTATTATATAAAATATTTAATAAAAGTCAACAGAATACAGATTCTTGAGCTTTTACGTTTTGTTGTATATACTAGACCAATTTTTCTCAAATTTTAACCATATATAATTCAAGATATTTTAAGTGGACTTACTTAATGACATAATCTACGTTTTAATGGAGTTTTAAACTGTTTTGCTCAAATTTTTCATAAAAATCTTTTGTCTAATTTAAAATTCTCATCCTAAGTTCATTAATAATGCGAATTCAACAAAACTTTAAATTTATATTCAACTTTAAAAGCATGTTTACTTAATGCACCAGTTCCGGTTTGGTTAATAAAATTTTGAACTGCGTGAGGCACAAGTTTCCCAATTATTAAAATGATCATCAGGTGGTCGGATATTTATGATAGATGAGTGTACTAGTACAGTACTCAACCTGTATATTAATATATACCCGCGAAATTTGCCGATTATCGTTAAATAATAAATAACAAATATTAATATTTTGAGGATCTCCTTTTCCCAATAATCTTTTTTTTAATTTAAGTAACAGCATTTAAAATAGTAGTAAAGGTAAAGATTATCCAGTTTCTCTAGTTCTGGTTGGCTCTTTACATTTTGACAACTTTCTCAGAAAAATAGATTTTAGTATAATTGATTAAACATCCTATCCCCACCTTTATAATTATATCTATTCCTAAGTATTCGCTCATTATATTATATTAGTTATTTTTTCCTGGTCTGTTGTTATCAGTAGTTTAATTTCATCTGAATCCTATATACTTGGAAAGCCCTTCACATAGTTTGTGAAATATTTCTGATCTAAAGTCTTAATATTCTAAATCCTTAATCATTGCATTTTTTGAAACTGGGGAAAAATTTACCAAGGAATACACCAAAAAATTTTACTGCAGTGCCCGAGTTGTAAAGATCACTCACTCTACTTGATTCTTCCAACAAAAAAGTTTAACGTGGTATAATGTGTAAGAGCTGTATCATTAATTGTTTGAATTTAGACTACGTAGGATTGATTACGCAATAAAAATTATGTAATAGAATTTGTCCAATGAAATGTTGTAAACTGTATATATCCCATGCACAACTTGAAAAAAGTTGGTATATAAGACTCATTTTCCATTACCAGTAAGTTGGACACAAGTGGCTGGGTATGGTTGTCTGACTTATCAAGAGATCCAACTTATTGAAATATGCAATTTTACAAAAAAAAAATTGAAAATTGTGTTTAAAATCGTTTATTTATTGGAAAAAATTATAAAACAGAAGATAAAAACAAAAAAATTGCACTATTCTTTATCTAAATAAATATCCATAATAGTTTGTATTAAAGAATTATTTTGTTTTCTGTCAATTTTCCATTTTAAATCTTTTAATCCTGAAACAAATAAACTAACTACCTACTTGTATATCATTATTTTGTTGCAAGTAATTATTATTCACAAAGATAAATTTTTAGAATAATTGAAATTATTATTGGATCATTTCATACATTACTAAAAATAGTAAAGTTAATCTCTCAAAGATTTACAAAAATCACGTGAACCGACTTATCGAGAGTCATTTATTATTATCTGGCTGGAGGAGTTGTCCAACTTACAGCTTACCAAGAGTTTATATGTGTGTCCAACCTATCAAGAGGTTTTTAAATAAAGGGCTGGAAATTTTTGTCTGAGTTAAGCCAAATCCAACTTATCAAATTTGCCTATGTAATACACATAATGATATATATTTACAATTACATTGTTGATATTAATGAAGTTGTAGGTACTGACTACTCTAAAAATCCAAGATTTTGTCAAATTAGCAGTAAACCAATACTGGTAGGCCCTGTTAAAATAATACTGGGACAACCAAAAGAACTAGTGCCTTCATTTTTTTGTTGCTCATTATTTTCCACTTTATCAACTATATCAACTATATTTGAGCCTGAAATTTTTCCAAGCATTGTTTCAACATATTGAATATCAGGTCTGTTTTTTGGGTCATCCTGCCAACATGCTAAATACAAGTAAATGATTAACAATAATTTAATGCATATAAATATATATATATATATTTTACCTTTGTACAAATTAATATATTTATCAAGTGTATTAGGAATAGGTTCTTCACGAGTTCCTTGAGAAATATGATGTGATAAAGTACGTTGTTGATGTTGATCCAGATTACTAAAAGGTGGTCGGTTACTAGTCAATTCCCATAATAAAACACCCACACTGTATACATCTGATTTTTTGTTTGGTTTATAATTGTTATCCTTGAAACATTGTGGGTCAATATAAGGTACTATCCCTGCCACTTGGAATGTTGAAGTGGTTGTAGATTCATGTATTTTATGGGAAAGCCCAAAATCTGCCAATTTTATTGTTTCCTGATGAACTAAGAAATTATTTGAATGCTTTTCAAAAAATATAAACATTATTAAATATAAAATAATAAATTAATGTATATAATATGTAGTTATTTAATTACCAAATCTCGATGGATAATATTGTTTTCATGTAAACATGAAACAGCTGATGCAATCTCAGATGCAAATTTCAGTTTTAGATCCCAACTGATTGATCCAACCTTTTCTTGTAGGTAGCTTCTTAGTGTTCCATTATCTGCATACTCAAGGACCAATAAATATTCCTCTTTGTCTTTATATATAAATATAAATATTAGTTAATGGAAGAAAGTCAAAACAGAAAACAATTTAAACATACCTTCATTCTTGGTGATGCCACAAAAACGAATAATATTTTGATGGTAGTCAACTTTACGTAATAATTTCAACTAATTGGGCCAATTATTATTGTTAGTTGAAAAAATTTTTTTTTAATCTATAACCAAAAATATATTGAAATTTACCTCATTAGTAACTTCTTTCATATGTGTTATACTGCATTTATAGGATTTCAAGGCAAAAGTACTACTATTGTTATATTTTGCTTTATAAACCTTTCCAGAACCACCTGAACCAATTTTTTGGGTATTTTTAAAGTCATTATATTTATAAAAATTAATGTGTTCATTCTGAATTGCCTCATTAAGCCATTCTAACCAATTAACCTTAGGTTTATCAACAATTACTTTTTTTTCATTGATTATTTTAGAGCTATTGGAATTGGATACAGAAATCTTATTATTGTTGTCACTAATTGTAATTAACTGGTCATTCTGAATATTATCATTATCATTATCATTATTACTATTATTATCTTTCAAAATTTTAATATTATTATTATCAAGGATGTTTTTATGACTAGTATCTACTACAGCTTTAGCATTACTATTGCTGTTGGTGTTATTATCATTGTTTGAAATGATTTCAATATTACTAGTATTTTTATTTTTATTTTCATTTTCATTATGAGCTTGTTGATTTAATTCTCTGTCTTCTTCATCACCATTAACAACATTATTAACCATTTCATTGGGTTTCTTTTTTCTTCTATATAAAATAAATATAGAAATAAGGGCAATGATGAAGATTGTACTAGATGTAACTGATCCAATAATTATACCTAGCATACCAGTAGTTTGTTGATCAGGAGCAACACTGGTGGTGGTTGGGTTGCTAGTAATGATTTTAGGATCAAATGTGTCCAACCATCTATAATTATATTTGTCACTAATATCTAATAATAAAATATTTGGATAACCAACAAGACCAGTATAACCTTATTATTAATAAATATAAATAAAATTAATATAAATGATATAAATAAATAATATATTTATGTATGAATTTTAAAAATTATTATCATAAGTTACCAAATGAGACTATCATGTAATTTTTATATAAATTTGAAGTATGAGACCTATGTTCTTTATAAATTAGATTAGCAGGATAGTTAGTAATGTTTGTTGGAATTGTCCATTGGAAAGGAGATTTTGTTACATCCAATATTGCTATTTTGTCTGTTTCCTTAGTACCACCATACACAATTATTCTTCCATCAGGTGCTAAATATGTATATATATAATTAAAAAATATATTTAATTGAATAATTATTCATAAAATTAATTAAATTACTTAATACTGAAGAATATCCATATTTTGAAGAAGGTATATCACCAATTGTTGTCTAATGTAATGAATATTTATTAATATCTTTTAGTTGAAAATATTGTCACTGATGGTTATATAACTTACAATAGTAGACCATGAATTTTTATTAATATTATACAAGTATATCTAAACATAATATGTATTATTAGAAAATATAATATTCTCATTCCTTTTATTTTAAT